TTTGAGACCCCAGTGTGATAACGTCCCTAGAATACTGTATCCACTTCTGTGTACCACAATTACAACAGTGATATAGACAGGCTGGAATGTGTTGAGAGGAGGGTGGTAAAAGTTCTGGAAACCATACCCTATGAGGTGACACAATAGCTGTGTTTAAATCTTTGAAGGGATGTCATATTAAGGATGGAGGAAGCTTGTTTTCTGCTGCTCCAGAGACTAGAACACAAGAGGAATGGATTCAAACTACAAGAAGAGAGATTCCACTGCAACATTAGGAGGAACTAACAGTAAGAGATGTTCAACAGTGGAATATGCTGCCTCGGAGAGTGGTGGAGTCTTCTCCTTGGGCAGTTTTTAAAGAGAGGCTGGATAGTCATCTATGAGGAGTGCTTTGATTGTGTTCTTGCATGGTAGAATGGGGTTGGATTGTATGGCCCTTAGGGTCTCTTCCAACTCCATGATTCTATGAAGATATTTTAATAAAAACCCATGACATTATATGCAGCCATCATTAGTCACTGCCCCTATCTGAAGCACCTCAAAAACCCTTCTGTTGGGACACTGCCTGGCTGAAGATACAGTATTTTGAGGTCATGTTCAGAATGCTAAAAGTTACCAGATCATAAGTTTTGCTTACAGACTCATAACAGCTGAATAGAATGTCAGCCTTTTTAGTTTTTTATTCAATGATGTGCTGTGACCAACTGTGATAGTTGAGCAACTGTGAGCAACTGTGATACTTAATATAGCATACTTAATTACATCACTGGTCTTGTCTTTAGGCCTCAAGTTTTGGCCCTGAAATCTCAGAGCTTGAGATTTCTGATAGACTGATGAAGGAGATGGAAGAAGTCATCATTCACTAGCAGAAGACATACTTTGCTTGCATAGGGTCCAATTTCTGCCATTTCCACTTAAGGGATTTCAGGAAGATGGACAGAAAAAAAAATCTAAAAGCCCTTTGAAATCTTCTGTACAGGACTTGCTGAAGTTAGTAAAGCTGTTGGGGAAAGAGAACAATATGTGTAACAATAATTATCTGTCACCTGAGGACAATGTTTCCAAACAGCCCGTCATGAAAAAAATTGAAAGGAAAAAGAGGGCAGCCACTTAAACGGACACTATGACTGAGATCCTTCATTGAAGCCACATTGTCATGACTTTGATGTGGCTCCCAATCTGGTTGCCAAAACGCACCTTACCACCCAGCCAGTTGCAGTGAGGGACAGAGTTCTGTGGTAATGGTGAATGGGGTGCTCAAGGATGCTGTGCACAGTCCCTCCTATCAGTGCTTTATGGTGCAATGAGCAGAAGTGAGAACCCTTGGGGTCCTGTCACAACTTCTTTGTGCACTGCTGATTGCTGGTGGGAGTGAGTTGCAGGGGCATCACTAGAGGGATGCAGGGAGTGTGGATTCCACCAGATGATACCCTAAGTGGGGGTGGGTGGGTGGGGTGACACCACTGCTCACCAAGCATCTGCCTTTGGGCAGAAACAGACTGTGATGTTCACCTGCATCCCTTTAAAATGCTGAAGAGATGGTGTGAGTGAAACGAGGCTCAGGGCCTTTGCAGACTGCCAGAAATAGTGCAAATTGAGTCCACTTTAAGGGTTAGGGTTAGGGTTAGGGAATCATGGGAACTGTATTTTATTGTGGCACCAGAGCTCTCTGACAGAGAAGGCTCAATGTCTCAGAAAAAAAACCTATTCCCATGATTCCCTAGCACTAACCCTAACCCTTAAAGTGGACTCAATTTGCACTATTTCTGGCAGTCTGCAAAGGCCCTCAGTGGGAAGAGAAAAGAGTGGCCTAAGGTTATTAAAAATTCAATTTATTTTTTAAAACATTAAATTTTAAAGAAAATTTTAATTTTAAAATTCTTTTAAAATTTTCTTTAAAAACACATCTTATCAAATTTTCACTTTAACCACATGTAACGACATACATGCACATACATTTTCTAATTTAAAGTTATAATTTTAATTTTGTGATTTCTTTATGTCACAATTATTGCCATTGCAGTGACATATGGGAATTATGATTTATGACGAACATTAGTAAAAAATAAATAAATACTAAGGATTCTGTATGGTGTTCTATGGGAGGAGGTCAATGGGGGTGTTACACTGCACTGGATAAGACCAACCCTAGTGATGCCACTGGCAAGCTGGACATATAATCCTTCAGTGCTCCACTCACCAGTGTCATAGACCTCCATTCCTCAGCACAGCTGACTGGATTTTAATGTGGGTTTCAGGAGTATTTGTAATCATGGCAATGGTATAACAATATTAAATGTGAACAGGAAAGAATTATGAGATTGTATGCCTAGTGTTCTACACAGTAACTAACAGCATGTCAGCCTACTATTTTAAAAATATTGTCCCATTAAAAATAGTGTACATTAACATATTTCATATAAATCTCACATAACCGTGCCAGGAGGCGGCATGTAGATCAGAGCCCAAGCCAGACAACCAATATTCATTCAAAAAATTTCAAGTCTGCCACACTGTTTCTCTAGAAAGCTGATTTCAATTGTATATCCTTATATCCTTTGGCTGGACTGATAATTTTAAACTGCAATCCTGTATATAATTAGAGAGCTTGGCAGTAAGTTTTTTTTATATTATGGGTGCATGTTTGTAGCAACCCTTTTACTCTAAAGTTACTTCAACAACAGAATGCTTATAGTTTTTATTAAGCTGCTTGGAGCAAGGTATTAATTGCTTGTGAAACTTACCAGCACTATTTGTTAAAAAAAGAAATGCACTATTCTAAGGATGAGCTCTTAGAAACTCATTTTCTTGCTAGCCATATCTACTGATGGGATGAAGCCTGAGAATGGGTTGGGAATGAGGTGTAACTTAGGGCCTTTGCAGACTGCCAGAAATAGTGCAAATTGAGTCCACTTTAACTGCCCTGGCTCAGTGCTAGGGAATCATGGGAACTGTAGTTTATTGTGGCACCAGAGCTCTCTGACAGAGAAGGCTCAATGTTTCAGAAAAAATACAATTCCCATGATTCCCTAGCACTGAGCCAGGGCAGTTAAAGTGGACTCAATTTGCACTATTTCTGGCAGTCTGCAAATTTAGGCATTGAATTAGGTCTATGTCAATACACTTTGGATCAGAGCAGATTGGAGCAGATCTATTTAATTCCCTTAACACAAGCTCTTTCTTCATTTTCCTATTTTTCTTACTGACTTGTGCATTGACTTGGTGCTGTTTAACACTGTGACACATTTTAGCAGATATTGCTCCATTTGGATCTCATTGACATTGCTACAGACAGGAAACATAGGAAATGTAGTTACCTTTGATTTCACTTCCTAAAAATGTTCCTTTTGTCATGTTATTGTTGCTATTGTGTGCCTTCCGACTTACAGCAACCCTATCACAGGGTTTTCTTGACAAGATTTGTTCAGGGGAGGTTTACCATTGCTTTCCCCTGAGGCTGAGAGCATGTGACTTGCCCAAGGCATTCAGCAGGGAATTGGGCCCTGGTCTCCAGAGTTGTAGTCCAACATACAAACCACTGTGCCACTGTCATATCAGGATCCAGGTAAACTGGAAAGAAAATATGTGTCTGTGGACCCTTTCACAATGCACAATTATAGTAGTATGATAGCATTTTAATTGCCATGGCAGCATTCCATGGAATCCTAGGGCTTGTAGTTTTGTCAGAGGCAGTAGAGGAGCTCCCAGGTTGAGACTTCTAAAGGCCCCTCTCTAAACTGTAAATCCCAGGATTCCACCGGATGCAGCCATGGGTGTTTAAGTGGAATCAGAGTGCAATAATTGTTTTTGTGTCAAAAGACCCTAGGAACTCTCATACTGACATGTATGGTACTGCATAGCTGCAGTAGCCATATTGCATAGATGTCCAGGCCTGGATTGTGCTGCCAAATGTCTTGATGCTATTCAGCAGCATAATCTGTTTCCTGTGAATTATTTTCCGTGTTGACTCCACCCTGAGCCATAGTCTAGGTTGCCAGTTTGGAAATAGATATAAACACTTACCAGAGCAAAGCAATTGGTTTTCGAGGAAGCCAGATCA